ATAGATAGATAGATAGATAGATAGATAGATAGAGAGATAGATAGATAGATAGATAGATAGATAGATAGATAGATAGATAGATAGATAGATAGATAGATAGATAGATAGAGATAGATAGATAGATAGATAGATAGATAGATAGATAGATAGATAGATAGATAGATAGATAGATAGATAGATAGATAGATAGATAGATAGATAGATAGATAGATAGATAGATAGATAGATAGATAGATAGATAGATAGATAGATAGATAGATAGATAGATAGATAGATAGATAGATAGATAGATAGATAGATAGATAGATAGATAGATAGATAGATAGATAGATAGATAGATAGATAGATAGATAGATAGATAGATAGATAGATAGATAGATAGATAGATAGATAGATAGATAGATAGATAGATAGATAGATAGATAGATAGATAGATAGATAGATAGATAGATAGATAGATAGATAGATAGATAGATAGATAGATAGATAGATAGATAGATAGATAGATAGATAGATAGATAGATAGATAGATAGATAGATAGATAGATAGATAGATAGATAGATAGATAGATAGATAGATAGATAGATAGATAGATAGATAGATAGATAGATAGATAGATAGATAGATAGATAGATAGATAGATAGATAGATAGATAGATAGATAGATAGATAGATAGATAGATAGATAGATAGATAGATAGATAGATAGATAGATAGATAGATAGATAGATAGATAGATAGATAGATAGATAGATAGATAGATAGATAGATAGATAGATAGATAGATAGATAGATAGATAGATAGATAGATAGATAGATAGATAGATAGATAGATAGATAGATAGATAGATAGATAGATAGATAGATAGATAGATAGATAGATAGATAGATAGATAGATAGATAGATAGATAGATAGATAGATAGATAGATAGATAGATAGATAGATAGATAGATAGATAGATAGATAGATAGATAGATAGATAGATAGATAGATAGATAGATAGATAGATAGATAGATAGATAGATAGATAGATAGATATATAGATAGATAGATAGATAGATAGATAGATAGATAGATAGATAGATAGATAGATAGATAGATAGATAGATAGATAGATAGATAGATAGATAGATAGATAGATAGAGTGGTGGACGTAGGACGGAAATAAAAAAAGAAATATGTGTAAAGAAGGTACTGCGTGTCTCTTTGTAATGTCAACATTGGTGTTTAAAAAATCACGTGAATGAAAGATTAGACACATTCGCAGGTAGACCTGTCATTAATGGCGGATATGCCAATACACCCAAGGTTACTCCCAGACCTAACACTTCACCAGCAGAATTAGATCATTGACAGTTGACTTCTAAATCATTTTTCTGCAAAATGTCAACACACAATTGGGACACGTCAATCATTCGCTAGTTTCTGAGCATCTGTGTCCTTGACCGTGCTCTGCATTTATTCACTCAAATATGCATACCTACGGACAGAAGAAAACGAAAAATTGTTTGTTCCAGATAAGTAGGGCTCAGACTGTAGGAAGCATCATGACGGATGGCTTCAGGCTAAGGTAACGCTGCATCTAGACCAGGAGCTTCCACTGTGTCAATGGCAGGGAAAAAGCGGGAATTTGATGTACAAATGCAATCATTTTCAAAATCGTTTGACCCCCTCCCCCCCTCCCTCATCCACACACACTCCCAGGTTGAAGATGACTGGTGTCAAGACTGTCCTCTCCACTAGGTATCAAAGAACTACTCCAACAAGAACTGTTGACCAGCTCAGTCTGATCGTAGCTCAGGAACCGACACTAAATGAGTACAACAGAAAAGGTGACAATGGAGAAAATGCACACACGTACTTGTTTTTCTGCGCTCGCACTTAGAAGGGCGGTTGGTGCGTGGTTTACAGCTAGGCTGCAATATCTCCACCTTTTGGTCCAACACATCTGATTTCAGCAAATCCCTAATTAGGCGTCGCAGTGGTGTAGTGGCTGGACGATCGCCTGCGGATCGGAAGGTTGTGGGTTCATGTCTTGACGAAGCCAGACTTTATTTTTAAAATGCCTTTGGCTCCCAGGTCGACCCAGCATTAAATGGGTACTAGGTACAATCCTGTGACGTAAAGGCGGCTGGCGTGATGGTGAGCACATCACGCATCGAGTGCCGATTAGTCGGTATAATACAGATCTAGCCCTATATGCCCAATACGCCTGAGGGCGTGAAAAAGAATCCTTTACTTTCTTAGTCTCATTTATAACGTGTTTACGACATGACTGTTCTTAATCAGTCTCTGTTCTGCCCCCACCCACTTTTTTTTCTTGTTGCATGAATGAAATGATGAATGAAAGGAGGGAGACTAAAGGGCATAATGTTAGACTGGTTTGTCTGCCCAGTGGCTAAACTTTTTTTTTTTTGGGGGGGGGGGGGGGAGGTGTATTCGTTCGGTCATTATATATATATATATATATATATATATATATATATATATATATATATATATATATATATATATATATATATATATATATATATATATATATAAGTTTGTCTTGGAATCCGCTCGGGGAACAAATATACACTACAAACTGTTTTCTGAATTTATTGACAGGGGTGCAGTGGCTGAAGAGGTCTCAGTTCTCTCGATCCAATATTTTGTCTAGATGCTGGGGGTTATGCTGAGGCCACCCCCACCCCCTCCTTAATGTTTTCTTCGTGGTATGTGATTTTTGTTATTACAGTGATTATATTTGACTCTCTGTGTGAACACATATAATTTATAAACTCAACACAGTCGGAACATATCACAGACTGTGGCATACAATTCATCAAAATATGCAATGCACAGCCAACCTCCCCCCCCCCCTTTTTTTTCCCCACCTCTTTCCCTCCCGTTGCCCACGCAAAGCATAAAAGACAGAACGGGCATTATGACACAATGAATAAATTATGAAACCAAACACTTCTTGAAAGGTATATGTTTTCAAAAATTTTGCTTATGTTGCAGCTTCTGCACAAGTGTAGATTGATGATTATTGTGTATTCTTGCAGGGTAAAAATGTCATTGTGTATCCGCAACCTAGGTTTTCGACGAATCATAGCGATAACAGTGGTGAGGGTAAAGGCATATTCTTTCCTTTCGTTCGTTCCAAGGGGTTGTTAGTTCGATGTCAGTTTTATACATTTAAATGTCAAGGTTTTTGTGTATATAAGACAAAACGCAACAAGAGCGGAAGTTGCACGGTTACAGATTGGATCAATCCGGTGATCGGGCGAAGTTAGGTTGGTTTTAGTTCTCGAAAATATTTGATCGACTTGAATACTCAGTTTATGAGTTATGAGTTAGATTTTCTTCACAGCACTCCGGACACATCCATAGGACCTCAGATTTCCATCTCAACATATTCATCAGCGTCGTGCGGTTAATAGTACCAGTCTTATGTTGGTTAACAAGACTTCGTGTGCGTCCAGTGTGCTTCTTATGCTTGGCTGTACCGATCTTTACTCCCAATTCGCGTATTCTTTAAGCCCGAGCAATCATGGCTGCTTGTCCAAGTATTCACCGCGTAGTCTACTGGGTTTCCTGTTAAAACCCCAGCCAGTCTTACGTTGGAACGAATACACATCTACTGAGCTATATCTAAGGCCCGCTTTCAGTATCCTCGTCAACCGTTAATCACTACATCTAGTTTGAGAATGGAGGACGATGAAGTCATTGCTGCCTTTCGCTGGATTGAGAATCAGTTGCACACACCTGTACATACTCGCAGAGTATTTTGAGAAAGGTGGAGACAAGTGGCAAGCATTGCTTCAGAGGTCCTGTGTAGTTAGCAGCCCTTGGATATTTTTCCAGGTATGCCGGTGTGTTGGGAAACGAGCAGGCCGCGAAACTGGCTGATTCTGTACCACATGGTGGTGAACTGATGTATGACAACCTAGATGTTGTGAGGGCCCTTTGGGAGTGAGTGAACAGTGCTGAGGCACAAATGGGTCATTACGATCTGAGTATAAGGGCGCTGCAGGGAACTACTTCAGGATCTGGCCGACGCTCAACACTCATGGGAAAAGTGAGATGGATGTACAATCAAACAGTTACGGTTACTATCGGAGTTTGAACTCTTCGCTTGCTGCCGCGCTTATGGAAGTGTCCCGATTGCTATGATGTCGATTCTTAATTCAACATCAATTCGACTATAGTGATTGTGTTGTATTGGGAAGCTAACTAGTTCTATTCCTCATTTGGGTTGACGTGTGTGTGCGTGCGTGCGCGCGTGTGCCGTAGATCAGTGAAATAAACGTGCAGTATCACAGTGAAGAGTCGGCTGCTGTACGGAAGTGGGTAGCAAGAGCGTAGTTATTTGTTAGTATCGCTTATAGAAGGTTAGATTAACCTTTGACTTGCCAAAAGACTGAGTCACTGCATCGCGAAATTGTGTTTGTCGTAATTGTGTCACCAACACAAAAATGTTAGGAAAACAAAGCTGTGCTGAATAGGAGTGAATGGGATGATCTGGTAATTAAACTTAGATATCAAAGCCTACATATAAACTACAATCAATTTAACGTGCCTACCCAACTTTTGTCGGCTCTGTGGCTAAGTGGATGCGAACGCTTCGTAATGCTGGGGTGCCGGATTCGATCCCAGCTACGGGCCATGCGCCTTGCGTTGGTTCAACAGTGGTATTAGGAGCCCGACCGTCCAGTGCAATGGCAAACTACTGAACTTAAATTTGCCTAGAGAAACCACACAACAGCCAGGGGCTTCTGGGGTTGGTTCTGCAACGTTCTGTAAAGGATACTCAACTAACTTAACCTACCCAACTTTTAAGAGTGAACACGGAAGAGTAAGATAAAATTGTTGTCTTTCTCATCATCATCATGAGCCTGCTGTGGCCTGTAACTGATAAGGCCCTGTTGATAAAGGGCAGGTTATTGTGATGATCCTCCCAGGCGGGCAGACAACTCTGGCAGATAGAGAGAGAAACAGAAAACTTCGACATGGGCAAGAATAAAGACGGTGCTCGTTTTGTTAACAAGGAAATCTTTCAAAGGGTCAACTTTCTCTACCAAGTATGACTGTTTTTGTGTGCTTGTGTTATAGTTTTACAGACATTAGTTATGCTAGATAAATCCGTTTTTTTTATTCAACGGCGATGTCGAGCGTGGGTTTTCGCGGTTGTCCACCGAACACATCTGTCTCGTTGTTGTGAAGCCTTGTTGGTTCACTGTGATTGTCAGACTGTCTTCATAAGTTAATATCCCCTCCGTTTGTGCCGTGCGTTTTTCTAGATACTGATTTAATTGTCTTGCATTTTTATATTCAAGTTTGCAATTTAGTGCTGTGTAATTGTGTTTTGAGGTTTAGTTTATTAGTTTATTTATCACAGTAGATAACTCTGATAACATTGATATATTATTATTATTATTGTTTTTGTATTGGAGTATTGGTAATTTGTTAAGCTTTTCTGAAACTTAATCATAATCTAATCTGGTCTCTGTTCCTTTAATAAACCAAGGAATAGGAGCTTTTAAGCCGACCCACCACCACAAGGTAAAGTTCTTGGGATCTGGCATGCCTCAGATCTATAATACACTACAGTACAGGACAAGACCACACTGTCATTCAAGTATCTCAGGATATGGCTGTGACTGGCAAAAGAAAGGCCTACTAAAACCTTGTTTCCAGCTTTAAAGTTAAAATGAAAGAATCTGTCAAAAGTCAAAGGGCACAACCTGAAGAGCTTGTTCAGCTGATAATGATGGGGACAGACAGCCGATTTAAATAATATTGTGCACATATTGTTTTTTTTTAAATAAGGAATAAGGGCATCTTTTCATGTTGTTTGTCAGATGCCTGCGTTGACCTCGTTAAATCCTGTATGCTTGAACACAGAAAGAAACAAAGTGAGTGATATTTAACCCCTCCAGGACTACACTACAAACAGTAAACACACAGTGACACAAAGTTCCAATATTCAAGGAAAAACACCCCAGATGCATGTCCCAGAAACCATGTTCAACTGTGAGGTTATATTAGGACCTGAGAAGACGGTTACAAGTTAACCTGAAGTCCAGCCAGGGTAGGGTTTTTAAACTTTAAAGATTTGCAACATGATGGCAATGTTTTCCACAGCTGGATACTCGAGGATATCAGGTTTCTTTACTTGTTGCCTCGTTGGTTACACTGTGGTTATACTGGCTGTGGTAGAAACAGCAGGCGAGCTGGAGTTTGTTGTATCCTTGCGGTGTCATCAGTGATTCCTGGGGTGGTGTCTATTCAAAGGTGGAGCCTTTTAATAAATCAACTGTGCATTTAACTTCAGGAAGAGTCTTGTCAACAAGGGCTTCACAGTGCAGCAGATGTTTAAGAGTGCACAAAGTTTCCTAACGCCATGGGATTTAGCAAAATATTGCCTTTTTTCTGGGAGAAGTCCAGGTAGATAGAACCCGTTAGCTTTGCACAGCAGTCCATCTAGGAGACGGCAAACTCCGAATTTAAACCCCCAAGTTTAAGGTGGGCCAACGTGCTGAGGAACTGGATGGCCACGGGTGAGCTGGTCATGAATGTTGGACGTCTGGCGGGCATGCAGGGCGGCACCAGGCGTATGGACTCCTACGGGACATCCATTGCCCCTTCCCTAGCAGGCAGGCAATACTAGGGTGACCGGTCATTTCCTGCAGTACTCTATTTTTTCGTATGGATTTGAAAAATATACATAAGAATCGTCGCCGGAGCTACAGGGCAGTGCTCTGCGCTTGACACATTATTCAGCGGTTAGTTAAGAGGGAGTGAGGAGGAAACGAGGAAATAGGGAGAGAAGAAGGCATAGAAATAGGAGAGCGGGTGCTGGGAGAACAAGGCGAAAAGCGGAGAGATTGAGCTTTAATCATGTAAGAGTAGGATACTGGAACTGTCGGAGTGCTAGGCAGAGAGGTCCTGTACTGGAGAGGTTGATTTTTGATTCTGATGTCATCATGCTCCAGGAGCTAAATACAGGACTAGAATGGCAATGAGGTCTGGAGAAGCAGACACAGCCATTGACTTGACATTTGTCTCTCAGTCGTCGGTTTTAGATGTTAAATGAACAGTCCTGAATGACCATGGGAGTGATCACCTACCATGTCCAGTCTTGATTTCTAAACTCAGTAAGGTTAAGGTTGGAAGAGCACGCAAGACCTTCCAGTATAAGTGGACCAACAACCTACTTGGACGCCTCAGACGGGGAGCATGCAAAAGAACTACCAGAACTAATTTTCTTCAGCCCCCATGGTGGACTCCAGAAGTAGAACAGGCATGGAAGGCAAAGAGAGCCGCAGTGAAGCAGCTAAAGAAAGTACGACAGACACCCTCAAGCTCACGAGAGGAAGTGGAGATAGCGGAGAATGTGAAAAAAGTTAAGGTGGAGGTTTTCAAGCGCTGTGCTGCAGAGGCCAAAAGAGCAAAGTGGGAAACTTTGGTGAATGATATGAGAGGCGATAAAACATTGGGAAAATTCTGGAAACTGCAAAGGCATATGCAAAGAAAAGATCAGCCTATGACAGTCGGAACAATTTGTAGAGGCGATGGTGTGCGTATGACAACAGACAAGGAGAAAGGGGAGGCTTTTCTTCATAGGTTTATAGCTTAGACAGATCATAATGATGTAGACATCAGGAATGCAGTTAGAAAGGAGTTAGCTGGCACCTTGAAGAATATGCATTATGAAGACATGATACAAGTGGAAGATATCAAACAAATTTTGAAAAAAAAAGCAAAAGACACTGCACCAGGGCCTGATGGTGTCAGGTATGGTCACATGAAGGCTTTGAGCGATGTAGACCTGGCAGAGATGGCCGACTGTTTTAACCAGAGTATTAACACATCATCAGTACCGCAAGACTGGGTGCACAGCCATCTAATCCCACTACCAAAACCTTTTAAAGATCATTCTAAGCTTAGTGGCTTTAGAATCATCACCTTACAAAACACATTTGGAAAGGTCTTGGAGAAGATAGTTGCTGTAAATGCGGCCACTTTTGCTTTTGACGTCTATGAAGGGTTCCAGAACAGACAGGAAACTATGGCGGTAGGACTGGATCTCGAGGATGCTTATAACAGAGTGAGATACGAAATCTTAATGACTGCACTGAGGGAGAAGGAGGTCAATCCATGGCTGGTGAATTGGGTTGCAGCTGTCCTATATTCACGTCGGGTTGCTCTCTGACTGGGCTCATGGACCTCTGAACCATGCACTTTGGCCCCAGGGCTGCCACAGGGATCCGCCATCTCGCCTGTGCTCTCCAACGTGTATATGAGCAAGATTGCAAGCCTAGAAGCACCAGGAGTTGGAAGGATACTGAATTTTGCGGATGATATACTTGCATATAGGCAGGGGGAAGAGAGGGAACAAACAACTCGGGAGCTACAAGTGACAGTAGACAAAGTGACTGCATGGTGTACAGAAATGAAAGCTGTCGTCCACCCGGAAAAGGCATCTGTTTTGTGGTGTTCTCTGGACAACAGAATCGTTGAAACTAATGTCCCAAGTCTCACGATAGATGGTTAACGTCAACAGAGAGAGCAAACTGAAGTATCTGGGAATTACATTTGACAAGAGCCTGTCATTTAAGGACCATGTGGAGAGTGTTGTGATGAGATGCCAAAAAGGACTTAGTGCACTTAAGAATATGGCTGCAGTTGACATAGAGCAGAGAATGCTTTTCACACTATATCAGCACCTGATCCTGTCAGTGTTGGATTATGGCTTGGGACTGCTTACCATCTCAAAGAGTCAGATGGACAAACTAGAGCGCATACAGAACGCGGCTATGCGGGTCATTCTGGGTTGCACCAGAGACACCCCAGTGGTATGTATGCGATACATCCTTGGTTTAGCGATGGTTGCAGGTGAAGTCATATCTCAGGGTAGCTGCAGACAGAGACCACTGAAGCTCTGGGTGCAGTTCAGGGTCAGCGGCTGATAAGAGGGAGGTCATGGATGGCTCAGGCAGAAGACACAATCAGACAGGTTTGCATCCTTGAGAACATTAGGCAAGGAGAGGAGTGGGTCAAAGTGCCACCTGAGCAGTCAGACTTGTGTAGAGTCATAATCACGCTGAGCCGGGAATGCAGAGATTGGCCAGCAGGTGCCACAGAGGTGGAAATTCAGCAATTAATTTAAGATAATGCTCGCTCAGAGAATTTGATCATTTACACAGACGGTTCAGTGTCAAGAGGCAAAAGAAGTGCTTGGGGCTTTTTAGCAAAAGTTAATGGTCATTTGGTACAGGAGAGCCTAGCATATGATACCACAACATCCAACTTAAGAGTGGAGGTAGTCAATGCAGCTTTCCGCTGGCTAGAGAAGACGACACACACACATATTGTAATTGTAACTGATTCAGAAAGCATGCTGAGGAAGATCAGAACAGGTATGCTTCGTGCAGAGTGGCATGCTTTGCTGCGAAGGACACGAGTGAGGAATATTGTCTGGATTTTTTCACCGGTTTACGCTGGTGTGTTGGGAAATGAACAGGCGGACAAACTGGCCGGTTCTGCACAACTTGGTGGAATACTGCTACATGATAGGGCAGGCGTGGTTAGTGCCTTGTGGGAGAGCGTGTACAGTGCGGAGGAGCAGATGGATCACCACTGTCTGGTGAGATTGATGCAGTTGGGGGTGACGAGAGGTTCTGGCAGAAGCTCAAGGCTCAGAGGAAAGGCAATACGGACGTTTAATCAGAAAGCTACTGGCACCATTAGTATCGGAACTCTTCGCTGGCTGCTGAAGATGGGGACGGAGCGCATATGGGAATGCCCCGAGTGCTGTGATGTCGGTTCTTGAATCAAATCGAATCAGACTTTGAAGATTAAGGTTTTTTGGAGTTTCAGTGCCAAGAAGACAGAGCCTTCAAGAGGGGATTCTCTTAGTTTACACACACAAATTTATTTTTAAAAAAATAAGCGTTTTATCGACATATACAAAACTATATATATTTGTGTAGCAAATTGAACTAACACATTCTTTATGAATCATACTGACGGCTTAACATTTGTTCAAAGTAGCTATCGAATTTACATATTTAAGCATGCAATTTTTTAAAATTGCTTAGGACAATCATGACTAAATTTGGCTAAATTTTCATTTGAATGAAGCCTGAATGAGTCCTAACACTTGTGTTTTGGAAAGTAAGGCCCATGTAGGCCCTCCAGATTCATCTGGCACATGGTTCTACTCCTTTTTCTGCCTCCTATGTTTTGGTTGTATGATGCAATAGTCCTTTTCACCATTGTTGGGCAAAGGTAACCAACCTCCCAAAATAGCAATATAAAATATAAAATTACAGAACACATCAAACTTTACTGAAAGCCGTAATTGAACAGCCCACATGTGCAAGAAATTAGAGAAACAATCTGATTGGCTGGTATGAAAATCTGCCAGCCAATTTCAAGCCATGTATTACAGGGCCGACAGATCGACCCATTTGTCTTTTGTTGTTGTTGCTCTTTTGCCCTTTGACCGATAGATCGGCTGAGTTGTCTCTAAAGGGTTAAAGTAACAAAACAAAAAAGAATATTGTAAGCAGATGTTTGAGAGAGATAAGGTTGCTGATTGGTTAAGTGTGCAGTTACTTTACAGACAGATAGCCTAACAGGCAGAGACAGATCTTTATTTATAAATGGTCACAAATTTGGCACACCCTGGGAAAGCTGAACTGGTCAACACATGCCTGCAGAAGTCAGATGTGCTGACTGAAAGGCACAAATATTGCAGCCATGCTGTGAATGGGCACAACACATTGACATTTTGGATGAACACAGAAGAAGAAGAAAAGTATTGGGCACACAAGCCCATCTTTCATTCAACCCTTCCAGATAGCTAGGGGTATATCTGGTAGTGGCACTGAGGAATATTGCCCATCCGTCTGCATTGCACTTGCTGTGTTCGGACACCTACCTAGCTGTTCACAAGGATCCATATTGATGTGCAAATGTTTATATTGCTAGTAATCGTGTGACTTTGTTGAATCCATGTTGATGTGCTAATGTTTATATTGCTAGTAATCGCGTGACTTTGTTGAATCCATGTTGATGTGCTAATGTTTATATTGTTAGTAATCGCGTGACTTTGTTGAATCCATGCTGATGTGCAAATGTTTATATTGTTAGTAATCGCGTGAATTTGTTGAATCCATGTTGATGTGCAAATGTTTATATTGTTAGTAATCGCGTGACTTTGTTGAATCCATGCTGATGTGCAAATGTTTACATTGTTAGTAATTGCGTGACTTTGTTGAATCCATGCTGATGTGCAAATGTTTACATTGTTAGTAATTGCACGACTTTGTTGAATCCATGCTGATGTGCAAATGTTTATATTGTTAGTAATCGTGTGACTTTGTTGAATCCATGCTGATGTGCAAATGTTTATATTGTTAGTAATCGCGTGACTTTGTTGAATCCATGCTGATGTGCAAATGATTATATTGTAAGCTAATCATTGGACTCTTTGGCATTCATTACAGGCTGCCCAGCTGGCGTTCAGACAAGACCCCACAAACCACGACATGTGCAGATATTACATCTCTACTATGCGTATGGTGGCAGAGAAGCATGTGATTAGGATGTAAGTACCCAATATGTCACTGCACATTAAGTCTGTGTGCTGTGTACTGGTAGTTTTTGTCATGTAATCAGACCGTTTTCATCAGTAGTGCCAGATTTGTCAGTATTTATGGGTGTGCCAAATATATGAATAAATGTGTGCAGGTTTATTATGATGACAACAGTTTAAAGTACTTTCTTCTGTTGCTAGTGGTTGACTGTTAGAGGTTGACAGCTCTTGTGAACTTCTCTTTCAGACTTGATGTGTCTGAGTTCTTGCATGTAACTCTTCTTCTTCTTCTTATGTGTTGTGCCCATTTACAGTATGGCTGCTATATTTGTGCCTTCAGGTTAACATCAGATTTCTACAGCTGTATGAAACGTGGTTAACCGTCCTGGATGAAGCTTTTCAGTGTATGACTGCTTGCAAAACTCAGATTCTGGAACAAGACTACAGTTTATAGACGGACAACAAAATTGTCCGCTTGTTTTTACAAATATGACACAAAGAATAAGAGGATCTTTTCAAAGATCTTTGGGATATGATACAGAAACCACTGTACATACAATGAAGTCGCTGTATCATCACTCAACACATTAACAGCTATGAACCCATATTAAAACAGTGAAAAGATGGAAAATGCAAAAGAAAGGGAATTTAGCAAGATTATTAGTGCTATCCAAAATGATACAATAGAGGGAAAGAGTCTGACCAAGAAAGAGACTTGATATTTCTTTGTGTACACTAGCTGTAAACTCCAACAAATGTTCTGGTTGTTTGTCCACTTCTGGACTTAAGTTTTACATGCACATCCATCATACATGTATGGCTTTTGTGTGTGCAGATTGTGGTTTCCTTACCCCCCAGGGAGATGCACTCTGACATTGAAGTAAACACCACTGTTTATCACCTTTTATTATATGCTTGTGGGGGGGGGGGGCAATGGGTCCCTTCTTACATTAAGAGACCTCAGATGTACATACATCAGGTCCATTGCATCTGACTGACAGAGGTGGATGCAGCTTTCCGACAATCAACAGTAACTGGTGATCCAGTGACTGTACTGGGATGATGCTGATGATGACTTTGCTGAAGGCTTGATTGGAGCAGAAAATAGTGCAATTACAAGAATCATGGGGGACATCCAAAGCAGGAGGCTGGAAAGATCACTCAGAAAAGAAACAATAAAGGTCATATCACATACTGTCAGCTGGAGTATGTATACCAGAAGGCTGTCATTAAAGAACCCAGGTGCCCCCATGCTGTAGGAGTGTCACACAGTAAAAACTTATAGTTTATATTCTGTCTTTTCCCCAAACTCAGAACCAATCCTGTTTGTACTGAATCTGTCTAAAGACTTAGCTGCTAGAGCTTCATAAATAGACATTTTTTATTTTATTTCAGCCATCCTAAAATGAAAAGAACAATCTGCAAATGTTGTAATATGTTGCTGGTACCTGGCCGTACTAGTAGGATCAGGTTTCGAAGTGTGTGCTCATTTGATCTTGTTTTGTTTACCGCAGTGTCTTATTATACGTCTCTCAATCTTTCAGGGCTGTTGAAAAAATATCTTATGGGAGTTTTAGAAACATGACCAGTCTTTGTTAGCTTGAGTATGCAGCACTGGGTCATGACCTGGTGACATTCTGATGTAACTCTCCTTGGATATGAAATTTCACTGCCAGTCATGGACACACTGCTGGGTTCTATGTTTGGGGAGGGGATGGAGAGCTCTACAGCGGTTCTTTCTGAAAAAGTGAACTGTATTGGGTTGTGAGAAACATGTCTAGCAGCCTCATTATAGATGTGAACACTTGTTTAGAGCTAAGGGGACCTGAACCTCAACACCCTGGGTTTCAGTGCTGACACCCACTGTGTCCCAGGACATTCAGAAACAACCATAATTTAGGTTCTGTATTTAGGGTTATGTCCTCGGCTTGTGTTCTGCTAATAAAGTGACAAATTTGATTTTAGTAAACCAACACCTGAAACAGCAGTATTGCTGTGTCTTGCCTGGTGTGTGTAGGCTTGAGTCTCCACTGAGGCAGACATGGAACATGTACCTGGCTTTCCTGGTTGATTCAACAACTGGCTGCAGGTAAAACTGGGAAGTAAAGGCCTCAGACATGATATTGACCATCACCCATTGAGTACTGATATGTCTGAAACATAACAACACTAGCACGGTATGTCAGCAATAGTTCAAGGCATGAAACAGGTTCTTGATTGCAGTGCATCAGCTGTGTGAATGTTAGAGATTCGATGTTAAATGGCCAGATAGCACATGCGGGTGGGAAAGGCCACTGTTGTCCTAGTTACCTTTCCTTTTCCATTCATTGGCAGTATTGACCACAGAGTCAGACCTCTCTCTGACCACTAGACCACCAAGATTCATTCTAACTTATGAATTCAGAATTAACTTCTTGTTGACTAAGCTCTGCTTTCCCCCTCTAGTGTCGACATACCAGGACTGAATCCATGAGAAGCACTGGGAGTGTGGAAACATGCCCTAAGCTGCTTCAGATCACATCGAAAAAGGGTTTCAGTTTTTATTGCTCAGGGTTGTCATAACTTACCACACACATCAGACAGAACTTACAAGACAGAAGTCAGCATGTTTTAGTCGCATAATGACCAAAGAAAGGCAGTAACATATTGTAATAACCAAAAAAATGTATGGATGGGAGATAGATAAAGATAGGAAAGGATGTTTGACATCTTGTTTTTATTGTTTTGATAATTTTTTTTTTAAAGTTATTTTAATTTACAAAAAATTTCTTGTAAAAAAAACACCCCTAAAAAATTCTAGTCTATTGTTGGGGTTAATTGGCATGTATGTATGAATTCTAACTCATAAATTTCATGTTAATTTCCAAGGTAAAAGTGAGACGCACACGGTGGTGACCTGTTTACTGTGTGGCACAATCAAACGCTTCATGTGGAGGAAGTCGCACCAGTTGTGGATGGATAAACCTGAAGCTTGGCTGAATGCTGGGGCAAAACCTGGCAAGACATCTTGATAATGGATTAGATGTAGTTAACTGTGAACATAGATGTGGGGACTTGTATGGCATTGACGTACCGAAATCATTCAGGGAATGATGCATGATTGTAAACATAAACCACAGGGCTGTATTAGACACTATGTGAATTTTATTAAGGTACAGAATTGGGGGTTTTACTGAAGGAAATCTCTGGTTGTTGAGATGTCCAAGCTGAAGATTTATGATTCAGTGTTTGTCTGAAGCTGTGCCATATGAAGTCTACACGCATCCACGATGTCACAGTGCAAACTGTTCTGTAACCCTGTGAAACAGCCAAGTGCCATCCCATTCAATTATACATACTCAAATGGCAGTTCTACTGCTCATCTTTACCTGTCACAAATCAACTCATGGCTGCTGAGTTTTGCTGCAAGAATCAACCTCTTTAAGGACTTCAGACATGGGAGATTACTCTGTGGGGTTGTGATGCTTGGGCAGGTTGTCCACTGTGGCAGGCTGGGCAGGATACTTTCAGCAAAGATAGCTACTGCCCACAAATGACTGATAGAGATGATGGACCTTGCTGGGAAGTCATTGTGCTGTTTTATAATGTGTGTGAGTGTTTTTTTTTTTTAAAACCAACTCGAAACTGCAAAGATATGAATTGTTCTAATGCCTTCTTTTAGTAAAAAAATTTTTTTTTTTCGGTGTTCATCTTCAATCCTGCATTGTTTTGGCAGTTGTTGCATAGTGACATAACAGCGCAACATCCAGCTCTTATATAAACATTGCTAGGTGCAGAACCAGTTGTGGACTGTTTTCGCAACAACAACAAAAGGAAAACTCAGGATTTAAAGCTACTCTTCAACCCAGGGGTGTTAATGAGATATTTTGTACTCTTTAACCCAGGGTTAGTTAATAATGAGATGTTTTGCCTTGCTGAAGAGATTTCATAAAGAAGCCAGCCATGTGTACATGTTTTTGTGCACTTTTGTGTCCTTCAGTCTATGAGAAGCACTGTGTACTTTTTTATCCTTCAGTCTATGAGAAGTACTGTGTACTTTTTTTTTGTCCCTCGGTTTGTGATAAACACTGAGTTGTTGTCCGCCAATCTAAGAAGCACTGTTGAGATGTTCGATTAGGTGCAAGACGAGTGCAGCATAAAAGATATTACATCCTACAAACCAAGTGTGGGAAAAATAGTGGGAGATTATTTCCAATGACGCAACACGATAACAATAACAGTCAACCCCAATGTGTCCAAGTGTAAATTAAATTACGGAAGCCATGTACCAAGTGTAACACTGGTGTATTACGACCACTATCATCCGAATGAAAAATGTGCAATAACTTGATATGTGGTTACAGCTCACCCAAATACTCCAAGCACTCGCTAGTGCACTCACACTCGTCTTGAAACATTAGAATCCATATTCTAATGACATATTCTAAACAACTCCCTACTGGTCAACAGTACGACCTTGAGAGTCTAAACGGGTACTTTAAACAATTCATCTGCAGTCTAATACTTCATAACAGGGCAATGTCCCTTCTTCTTGATTCCGCCAGCTTTTCCTCTGAGTGATCCAATAGCTTAAAATAGTCTTGCTTCCTACAGAAGGCAGTAATGTACCAGCTCTTAGCTGAGATTTATCTGTGGAATCCTCAAGAATCTACCAAGGCCTGACCACACATCTGCCTTCTCGAATCTTTCGACTATGAATGCTATAGATCCCAATTCCCTAACAACACCACGTAATATTTTGACATCCATTTTGCTCAGTCAGTATTGGTGTGTTTTAGTGCATATCCGCACGCGACAAGTGTATACACATGGTTTGTTCTTGAGTCTGTGAGAAGTACTGTTTATTATTGTCCTTTATGAGCACTGAGTGTTTGTCCTGTCAGTTTGTGAGAAGCACTGTATACACATGATTTGTTCTTCAGTTTATGAGAAGTACTGTTTATGTGTGGTTACGGATGCAGTAGATGGAGAAGAAGGCAATGACTGCCACTGAACTATTGCCAAGAGTCAGTGAATGTAAAACATGATTGACAAGCTCCACGAACAGATGCAGAAATGGAATGTTTTGCACAAATAGAATGTTTTAACTAAGGTTTTTATAAATGACTGAAAATATAAATATCTGGTTCATCCACTGTATTTTTGTTCAAGCACTCTTCTGTCATTGTGAAACTTGATCCCTATTAAACACCCACCACAGAACACTTGTCACAATGAGATGCGGTTTCTGAAAAGGGCGGCTGGGTTGTCCAGACAAGATGGAGTGCAAATCATATTACAAGTATGCCAGACATAACATCAGAAATATGCCAGACTTAACATCAGAAATATGCCAGACATGACCTCAGAAATATGCCAGACATAACATCAGAAATATGCCAGACTTAACATCAGAAATATGCCAGACATGACCTCAGAAATATGCCAGACTTAACATCAGAAATATGCCAGACTTAACATCAGAAATATGCCAGACATGACCTCAGAAATATGCCAGACATAACATCAGAAATATGCCAGACTTAACATCAGAAATATGCCAGACTTAACATCAGAAATATGCCAGACATGACCTCAGAAATATGCCAGACATAACATCAGAAATATGCCAGACATAACATCAGAAGTATGCCAGACATAACATCAGAAATATGCCACACATAACATCAGAAGTATGCCAGATATAACATCAGAATATGCCCGACATAACATCAGTAGTATGCCAGACATAACATCAGTAGAATGCCAGCCATAACATCGGAAATAATGCTAGACATAACATCAGCAGTTTGCCAGGCTTAACATCAGAAATCTATTTCAAGTGACAGTAAACAAATTGGGTCAAGGAACCATTTTTCTGTATAAAAATGAGTCAGATCTGTAAAATAGATGTGCATGCAACATTGAAGTTCTGGATGAGACTTAAGTCCAGAGGTGGACAAGCAGCCAGAACTTTCTGCCAAAGTTCACAGCCATGAACATGAATAAGAGGAAGAAGAAATAAAATGGTCTTGACATTCTGGGAAGCAAAACCTGACCAACTACTGACAGGAGCACATAACAAAAACAGATAAAGATGTAAATATAGAGGCAGACCAAGAAAGCAACAAGAGTGCTCTAGCCACACAGGTGTAACCAAGGACTTTAACAGAAGCTTAGGGCCACAATCTCTACAGTTAACAAAGGAAGCTTTGTCAGTCTGTGGCTAGAGACACGATCTGATGAAGAGTTTGTTTGAAATATTCATTTTTGGATCTGTATTTCATTTATCATCCTCCACGAATAGCATTTCTCAGTGACGAGAATACCACATGTTCACTTAGGCTGTTTTTCCACTGTGGCCGAAAAGTCAAGTACTGGCCTGAAACAGTCGTGGACCTAAAGTCTTAGCGTTGAATGTAGTGTGTATTATGTAAATATCTAGCGCATTTTCATTGTTTTGCAACCACTTCTGTGAAAGCATGACATGTCATCATGTCATTACAAAGAGGTATGCACCAAATCGGTGGATTTGTTTTGACTGCTCACAGCCGATTCAAAAGCGAAATGTAAAGTTAGAAACAAATGAAACGTGGATTTAAACAAAATGATTTTTCCCGACCTTTGCCCACATCTTTAAATAATGCAAAGGGCAAAGACAAAGTGATAAATAATGAAGTTTATTATGATTCAAAGCAAATTGTCTTATGTGCCATAAAGCATATTTTGATAATATCCAAAGGTTTGCAACCAAAATTTACATGATTCTACTTATGGTTGTCTATGATTCTCAAAAAGAAAGCAGTCAAATCTGCAGAAGTGTATCTAATATGTCACTTTTAGGTGTGAAGTATGAGTCTTACACACAAGCTAGTTTCTGAACTCAAAAAAGAAAAGGAGAGGTCCGCAATACTGTGACTTTGGTATTTTGGCGCCTGGATTGTTGGTATGGTACTTTGACACCTTGCCTGTGGGTGTAGTGCTTTGACACATGGACTGGAAGTGTGGTGCTTTGACACCTGGACTGTGGGTATGGTACTTTGACACCTGGACTGTGGGTGTAGTGCTTTGACACATGGACTGGAAGTGTGGTGCTTTGACACCTGGACTGGAAGTGTGGTGCTTTGACACCTGGACTGTGGGTGTGGTACTTTGACACCTGGACTGTGGGTATGGTACTTTGACACCTTGCCTGTGGGTGTAGTGCTTTGACACATGGACTGGAAGTGTGGTGCTTTGACACCTGGACTGTGGGTGTGGTACTTTGACACCTGGACTGTGGGTATGGTACTTTGACACCTTGCCTGTGGGTGTAGTGCTTTGACACATGGACTGGAAGTGTGGTGCTTTGACACCTGGACTGTGGGTGTGGTACTTTGACACCTGGACTGGGAGTGTGGTACTTTGGCACCTGGATTGTGGGTATGATACTTTGACACCTTCCTTGTGGGTGTGATACTTTGAAACCTGGCTTGTGGGTGTGATACTTTGACACCTGCACTGTGGATATGGTGCTCTGGCAACTGGACTGTTGGTGTGATACTTTGGCACCTGCACTGTGGATATGTTACTTTGGTACCTGAGCTGTGGATATGGTACTTTGATACCACAACTAAGGATATGGTAATTTGATAACTGGACAGGGGGTGTAATACACTGGTACCTTTAGGTACCTTCACTGTGGATACGGTACTTATGTACCTCTACTGTTAATATGGTACTTTAACACTGGACTGTAGATACAATACTTTAGAACCCCCACACTGGATATGATACTTTGGCACCTGGAGTGTGGATACATTACTTAGTTACCCCCACTGTTAGTACCCCATGTGGATATGGTACTATGACACCTGGACCGAGGATATGGTACTTTGGCATGTGAAAACTCACTACAGGAACCTTACCGGATAAATACAGGTTGTTTACATAACTCAGTCAAAATGAACGCCATTGTATCCGACTCAGTTTACCATGAGGTTCTTCTGTGTACGCTTCTAAAAGGACGGATGGAAAGTTGTTTTGTGATTTA